TGCCTGTCAATTGGATTTTTAATTATAAGAGTGGTACTTTTTCATGATTAGTCACTTCTGGTCGAGAAATCTTCAGCTTTAAGCTTATTTCTGTTTTGTTTAATTGATCATTGAGCCCTCGACTGGTCCACAGTTATTATCTAAGCTTTACAAGCACTGAATCATTTTTTTATCAACGATGATGCCCGGTAACTGTAGCTAGTCTAAAGAAAAAATATATTTGTGTCCAAAAAAAAAAGAAAAAGAAAAAAAGGGGAAGGATATACTTACCACCAAAAAAATTTACAACATTTACAATCAACCTAATAACCGTTGATTTCCGTCAATCTAACGATTGTTATTTATTAGAAATTATTGGGTCGCATTAATTAATTAATTATTAATTTCAATAAATGATAACTGTTAGATTGACGAAAATAACGGTAATTAAATTGGTTATAAAGGTAATAAATTTTTTTGGTTGTAAGTATATCTTGCCCCAAAGAAGGGGAAAGATATACTTACCACAATTAATTTCAAAAAATATATTGTCTTTTCACTAGGAAACAATTTATATAGGTAAAGGGTTTCTTTTAAAAAAACCACAATTAAGTCGGGTTTTTTTTTACCCTTTTGCCCTTAATAAAATTAAATATTACAACTTTGTCCAGTCCCAAAATTAATCATCAATCTGTCCCTATTTGATCGTTGACTGGATCATGTAATTGTTTACAACTTTCATGTAATCAATTACATCACGATTAACTGATTTTATCTATTACACCAGTATACGATAATCGATTACATCAATGAACAAAGTCATATAAAAAAAATTTCATAAATTTTTTTGGATCAAACGAGTTTCTATGATCATATGCTCTTAATATTGAGCTTGAGGAGGGGCTTTGTGGTATCACAAGACCTAATGTCGTACTAAATTTGGGATATTTTACGGTAAAATTTTGGAAGGCCATATTTTTTGCCTCGGGAGCCCGAATCAGGTGATTTTTTTTATTTCACTTAATTTTTTTGAGACAAATACGCTAACAAGTCCCCAGAATGCTTCCTTGTGCCCCGTTTGGCATATTTTATTTATGTGGATGATGTTATTTAATTCCTATTCTTATTTTCACTTTCCAATACTAAAAAATAATCATTCAGCATGTATCTCAAAAAATTACGTGGAATAAAAAAATCACACCTGATTCGAACCCTCAAGTCAAAAGTTACAGCCTTTCAAAATTTTAGGATAAATTGAGCCATGTAATTGATTACATGACTCATGTAATCGATTACATCAACCAATCAATAATCAAACAGGGCAGACTGGTGTTAAGTTTAAGTAAAAAGTCAAATTTTTTAAATAGTATAAAAATGAGGGCATATTGATCATTTTTATTTTAAAAAGAGGCAAAAGGGTCTAAAAGCCCAATTAAATCTTTAAAATTGGCCCAGTAACGAGGGATATGAATATATGAAGTCATAAGTTCAAATTTCAGTATCAGCAATGTGCGAAAAAAAAACCCACAATTTTATTGTTTCTCCTATTGGAAAGAGCGCAAAGTGTTGTAAATATTTAGAAAGAATACGCATGTAAAATTATTGTTAATCATTTTTATAATCAGTAATCCAAAAATTGACTTTTGAGGACTTTAAATCAATGTTATTAAAACCGGCTCGGTCATTGATCCGGTCGAGGTACTGGGTCACTGGGTCACTGGTTCAACCAGTGGGTCATTGGTTCAACCGCATGACCCGGTAATTATATGCAATTTTATAATTTATATTAAAAAATTATAAACATACTTAAATATCTATAAAAAAAAGATAAAAATTTCAAATATTTTAATATAAAAAATAATAAATGACATATTATTATCCAATAAAAGATCAAACAAAAATATATTGATCGTGATACGAGACTTTAGGTTAAGAAAATGACATCTCTAACTATAAATCAAATCAAAATTTTCTGCATAGTGCATAATTGAGATAATATTAGTGTTGTAGGTAGATAACTTATGTAAGTTAATAAGCAAAAAAATATTCAAATATATCCATTATGATTTTTTTTTAAATTAATTTTTTTTTAGGACCGGGCCGGGTCACCGGTTAACCGACCGGGTCACCGATTTTCATGAAAACCGATCGGGTCGGACCGGGTCGCACCGATTCTGATGCATAACCGGTCCGTTACTTGAACCGGACCGGTTATATGACCGGTTTACCGGTTTCCAGGTCGACCCAGCCGGGTCGATCCGGGTTTTATAACACTGTTTTAAATTGAATAAATTACATTTTAGCATATTGCGGATATTAACCATAATGGAGAAAGATAGGCCCCCCCATAAAACTCACATAAACATGCATGGGCAATGAGTTTTATTGGGAGATTGATCCTTTAGTCAATGTTTTGAATATTAATCATCACTCTGCCACGATTCAATGAAATTTTTCCAATATATCACGTCATATTCTTGCTACGCCAACAAACGAGACTATCACATATGCAAAAAGATGTCCGCGTGGCTAATCTCGCTAGGCTTCCCAGCGAGAATATGTGTACCTTTTCCACGTGTCAGCACCCTGGAGTATCTCGCTAAACTGCTGGGCAAGATTTGTGGCTTGCAAGACACTGCCACGTGTCCAATCCAGTCTCGCTTGTTGGTGTAGCGAGAATATAACGTGACATTTTGGAAAAATTGTATTGGATCATGGCATAGTGATAATTAATACTCAAAAAAGTGGCACAAGGGTCAATGTCCCAATTTTTGTAAGAGAAACTCATCCAAAAGCATTTTGTCAGATTTTTTTTAAATGTGGTGGGTCCCACTAATTTTTGTTTATGCTAGAGAATTAATAGTTCCTGCAACAAGAGAAATTGTTAATAACATTTATTTATAAATATTATCTTTATAAAGAATTAATTTAACCCAAAAATTTAAGTTGTTGGGGAGATTATATTTAAAGGTTTTAAATTTTTTTAATATGTCCCCTTACACGAGAGCCCATTGAACTTTACGAGTGGATAATGCATCAGGCTCAACCTACCTGTACTAAGAAACTTCACAATATTTAATTATTAGAATGGGGGCGGTGATGAACGAACTCGTGACACCGAGCCTCTGATACCATATAAAGAACCAATTCAACCCAAAAGTTTAAGTTGTTAGGTGAGGTTATATTTAATGATTTTATATTTTCTAACAATTTTTTTTTTGTGTTTTTATCATATATATATATATATATGATAATTATAACTTAGAAGGAAAAATACACGTGGCAATTTGATCATTTTTAACAAAAATTTCTATCTTTCTCATTGAATTATTACAAAATTTTTGACACAACAACCCTTGACATAGTGTTAAGTGTTAACAGTCAACATTCACTACAAGCTATTCTTAGCATATATATGTAAAATTTAATTCATATTTTTTTTTTCTTGGTATCTTTAATATACATTCTTTAATTGAATATAATATAGAAATATTTAGATTAACATAATAATTTAATTTTTAGTTAAAGTTATGCATTCTAATTTTATTTATTTGATGCTATTATTATAATATTATTTGCCAATATTATTCATATTTATAGAATAATATTCTAAATTTAAATTAATATGTATTTGATATAATAACTTAATATCTATAAAAAAAATTAATGATGATGATGTAAAAAAGTAATATTTTAGGATTTAATGTTTCTCATATTGTAGAAGATAAAAATTATCTCTAGACACACATAAAAGTGTGTGGAATGCTCTCTCTTTTTCTTTTTCTATGGTCATATACATACTTTTATGTGTGTGCATGGGATAATGTTATCTACTACATCAAAAACATTAAAACTAATTATCTGTGTGTGTTGACACATTAATTTATATCAATATAAAAATAATATATACATTTTATATTCAATTTTTAACCATTCATCTCACTTTCATTTACAAACTGACAAAACTAATGTATTAAAAACGTTAGATGCTAATGAAACCAACGATTAAGATTAAATGCACGTATAAGAGTTTTTATAAATATATTTTCTCTCTCACACACCACGTATATCTATATATGTATGGAATGTTCCTTTGGGGTCGCAACCGAAGCCTATATTAATTGAGAATTAAAATACGAAAAATAAAATTAAAAACAGCAAAATTAAGTAACCCTAAGAAAGGGGAAGTGAGAAACTTACCCCATTTAAAAAAAGGAAGTGGCTTACTTACCAACTATAACTGAGTTACTCACTCATGCAATTTACCCTATACGAAGAATATGTAATTCGGCATAGTTGACGTAAGTGAGCATCAACTGGTCAAAACAAGAACATATTGATATATATTTTAGGAGGGGAGGTAAAGTGATAGTTTTGTTAAAAAATAATAATAAAATGATCAATCAGCCCGAATTACGTTAAATAATCGTGTCTGGTTTTAATATTTTCCGTGAGACGACATAACACATGTACAGTCATAACTGTGAGATTAATTCGCACGCTGGATATGGTTGTTAGGTAAACAACTCCGGGATTCAAACACTCTACATTGTATGTAAAGTTAGTCTCATGAGGTCGCAGCAGCCTATATTTGAGAAGTAAACTAAAACATATAAAAAAAAACATAGCAAAAGTAATTAAGTCTAATAAGAGGTTCGTATTTTAATGTTTTATGTGAGACGACACACACATTAAAGCAAAAATAACTCAGTTGAATAAGACATGTTATATTTACAAATTTTTTTGTCTACAAACTACATTATCTTCTCTCGGAAGAACACTAATCACACTATGTTCTTCCGGGAGAACATAGTGCAATTTGCATAAATTTATAAAAAAAATTTGTAAACGTATCCTTCTCCGAGTTCAATAGATATAAACCTCATTTTTTATTTTTTATTTTCCTTTTGCCCTAAATCATAAAAAAGAAAAGAAAAAAAGACTGCCAGCCCTTTAATGATATAAAAGATATTACTATATCATTAATTTGATTATCAAAACAAAAAGGTATTTTAGCCCTATCCGCTAAACTCTGCCATATATTTTCTCTAACAACAACAACAAATTATCTATAATCTAATATTGTCAAATGTCACTGAATTTAGTACAGCTAGTTCCTACCCCCGCCACCGACCTTAATTTACTAACATTTGTGGTTATTAATCTTTATATCAAATTTCACTGAATTTAGTACTTGTTCCTACCTCTGTTATATACTTTCTCTTTCCAGTGGTCAATAATCATTTGCTAGCCTACATCATTGTGCTTGTGCATGCCTGGCCCAGCATTCCCTGTCCATCTTTGGTCACTTTGTTTCTTTTATCACTTTTCCTTCTTTTTCTCTTTTGTTTTCTTCAGCTTTTCTCTTCACCAACTGCGGCTTCACATATGCTTCGTTCTTCCTCCTTTTACAAGTTCAAACATTTAATAATACGTAATCACTTTCCATTGGCTGAGTCTATTTGGCTTCTTCATTTCCTTTACCTTAGGAGTGCGCCTCCGAATGTAGGTTTCCAGAAATCAGTAGTGGTTTCTGAAGCCACCGGAAATGTGTTTGAAGTCGGAACCAAGCACAGCCCTCGGCTTCTTAAATCTTGTTTTGGCCCTTCTGATTCTCTCAGATCATCACAGCCCTTCAAACACATGCATAAATGTTTCAAAACCCACAAATTCTTATATAATACTAGAGTACTAGGGGAAATAGGTTATATTTATAACATTTTCTTCGTTTCATTCTTTTATAATCATTTTCAATAGTTGTGTTAAAATTAAATTATTGACTCATTTGATATTATTTTATAATTACTGATTTGATTTTGATCTAATAATAAAAAAATAGTTATAAAAGGTTATAAAAATAAGGAAAATGTTATATTTACAAATTTTTTGTTTACCACTCTTATAAATTCAACTATATATTTTTAGGAATAGATTCGGTAATGAATGTATTCCTTAGAATACATAGTGTAGTTTGTAAATATAATCTACTTCTAAAAACAAATATAAATAACCTCCCTCTTGTTAGAGAAAACTATATATCTAGATATAAGCATTTTGGAGTACCTGTTGAATGGGGGCTCCATTTTTTATATATGGACTGCTCAAAACCTGGAATTCAAGACCCAGATTAAATTATAAACACATAACATAAGAAAAGTCGAATAATATAATTTTTGTTTTTGAAGAATTTATATACGTTAGCCAATAATTAGGGTTTTATTGTAACCCAAAAATAATAATTAGTGTTTTATTCAAAACAGGGTTAGATCAATGGAAACATACGCTGACTTGATCATGAAGGAACTTGATGTACTCATTGGCCTCGTGTAGAACAGATGCTGTGTCGGTCTGTTAAGATCAACAAGAATATGATATATCTGGGTGAGTCTTTCACTTTTTATTTTTACCTTTCAACGTCTAAGAAAGTAAAGGTTTCAATTCTATCATAGTCATATAGAAGCTTTGAAAAAAAAAAAAAAAAAGTGAAAGAGACATGCGAAAATTTTCACCTTTCCGAAAGGTGATACCAATTGCTGAAGAGCAGTGACACGGTCCCCTAGCTTCTCTTTCCGAACCTGTCCATACATATCAACTTTATTTAAATCTAAAGTGTAATTATTCTTAAGATATATAGTCCCACATTGGTTGTATGTGCAACTAATGTGGAGTTTATAAGACCTTGGGCACTCCCAAAGTTCTTTACAATTATTATGAAGCGTTTATGATTAGTTTAATGACGAGAGATTTAGGTAATTTGTATTAAGTTATGCGTTCAATTTCAACTTGTATAAAAAAGAAAATGTAATTATTATGAAGGTTGAACAATTTTGAGAAAGTTAAAAGGGTTTGACATAAAAATATGCAAAACAGTACAAAACCTTGAAAGTTGGCAATGGGGATGGAGTTTCCATTCTTGGCCTTTTTGATTCAGGTTCACAAACACTTTTCTTCACCATTGATACCAAGTCCATTTTTTCTTCACTCTTGAGCTGCACTTCAATTTATATCAATAATAGTCCACTAGGAAACCCTAAAGCTGGTTAGACAAAGATTTTTATTAACTCGAAAAACTATTAACTTAATTACCTTGTTTAATAGAGTACTTGAGCAATTGGGTTTCTCTTCAAAAGTTGGTGTTTGATATTGTGATTGTGATGGAGCAAAAGCACCTGCTCTTATGTCGGTAAGTGCCTCGGCTGAAGGATTCCAGAAAGGGGTATTGTTGGAAAAGTGCAATCCAATAGGATGCTGCTTTGCCATTGGTAAAGGCTTCAAAAAGGAAGAGACTTTAGACCATATTGGCAATAGTTCATTGGAGGGTGTCCCATAATTTGCTTTAGATGAATAGGACATGGAACGGTTGGTGAAAAGCGAGTGTTGTGGTTGTGGATGAGGTTGAGGATCAGGATCATGTAAGCTTTGTTTCAACGTTGAAGGGCAACCATATGAGGCTAATCCAATTGGGAAATCTCGATCTGATAACCCAAAGGAAAATTCTTGGTTCATTGGCTTGGAAGTGTCAATGGTGGAAACTTGGCTTCCATTACCAGAGGAGAAGCTCTTTGGAGTACTCCAATCCCTTTGAATTTGTGAATTGGAAGAATTAATATCCGTTTCTTCTTGAAGCATGGAATGGAAATTGCTCTCTGGCCTTCCATTATTGCAACGACTATAGCAAAAAAAAAAAGAAAAAAAGAGAAAAATACAAGGACATATATGTAAGGAGAATCCAAAAGGTGAATAAACAGTGAAGAACTAGTATACCCCATAAATGCTTTGATAAGATGAAGTTCCCTTTTTTAAACGAAATCAATGAGAAAAAGTTAAGAAAAACGAAACTTCTTTTCCCTCTAGGAAACTTTGGACCATACTATATATAGACCATCTGCTCACACATATTACATATGAAATTGAAATTTCTCACAAGAAATTAAATATTAGCAAACAATAAATATTTATTATACCCATATCTGAAAAAACTTACAACAGAGGCCGATTCAAATTCGTTGTAGTTGAAGATGAAAGGCCAAAACCCATCATTTGTAAGGTGGAATCTATCAATATGCTACCACTTCCGCTGGCTGATTCACTCTTGTGTGGCTTCTGTGCATCAACAAAACCCATGTAACTATCAGAAACCAAATTATTAGTGTCTTCAGCAGAAGACCTCGTTGCCTTCAAATCCATGATATCTGTTTGCCAAGTGCTATAGTCTACTACATCGTTAGCTGCCACGGAACAGCTTCTTGTTGACTCAATATTCCACCAGTTTTCACCACAAATCCTATCTTGAAACTCTTCAGCCATGGCAAGGCTGTGTTTATTCTTCTGAAATTGCTGATTTGTTTGTATCTTTGAGCTTTGCTTCTTGAGTTAGGTGCTACATAAAAATGGTATCACATAGCAATATAGGCTTATTGGCATATAAGAAAGGGTTGGAGTTGAGAGATTTTATATATGAAAGGTTAGAAGGGTACGGACAGTGGAGATTACCGGAATCTGGTTGACATAACAACATTATGATTGAATTGAACAAATATATTCTACTTCTCACTCTCTTTAAGGTAAATTTTTCTTTTTCAAATTTTAAATTACATAAATTTATATCGTTTTAAATAAAATAACGTTATTTTGATATATAATTTGTGATTTTTTATATTCTCTCTTATACATAAAATTAGGAAGAGCGAGAAAATAAAGGAGAAAGAAGATAAAAAATATCAATTATATATCAAAATAATATTATTTTATTTAAAATAAAATAAAATTATATCATATTAAATGACAAATACTTGATCCGTAATTTTGTTGGTTTTTTTTTCTTATTGTCTTGGTTTTGTTATGTTATGATGATATCCCGAGAATCATAAATTATATAATACATGCCTTGCGGAAAGTTTGTGTTCCTTATGTATGAAGGTATGTGGGTATAATGATAATGATGTGATGAGATTTGATCTGTATGCCAGCCATGTCATGATTTGCAATCCTACGGTTGAAAACCTTTGAATTTTTAATTAAAAATATGTAAAAATTGTAAACCACATTAATTTGTTTTAGAAAGTAACTCTTTTTTACATAATCTTTTAGAAAAGCTCTTAAAATATTGACGGTGCCGATATCTCCTCATTGAAGTGTTAATCCTACATAAAATAAATAAATAAGAATCATAAGAATTAACAAATAATGTATCAAATTGTATAATTAATTAAATGGTTTATAATTTTCCTCTTCGTGACCTTTAAGCCACTTACAATTTAAGCATTCCCTCATTTATTTTCATAAGATGTAGACATTATAAACGATTATTATAGTTTACAAATTTGTACCCTTGGATAAAATTTAGGACCACTTTAATGGTCCAAATGTTTATCATTGCAGACGATGGTAATAGTACTAGCCCGTAGCAGGGCCAATCACCTAGCAGGCAACGTACCAATGTTTTCATTTTCTCAAATGGGAATTAGTTGGCCAAAGCGCGTGTAGGTCACAGGTTTGTGAAACTAAAACCAAATTATAATAAGGGATTAATACAATTTATATTGTAAGAAAGAAAATTATCTTTTATGCATAAATAAAAATATATGAGATCTATGTAAGGCAATGTGACGAAAATAAAGGGAAAGAAAAATATATATTTCACATATTTTTATATACGTGTAAGAGATAAAATTATCTTCTATAGCATGAAAAACTCTAAATCGTTATAATAATTCAATAAATACTCGACGTAATAGAACTTCGACGCTAGCGATGAGTGTCAAGGACCTAAACCAATGCTATTAAGCCTGAACCGGTATCGATCAGGTCAGGATACTAGGTCATTAATCAAACCGCTTGACACGAATATATATATATATATATATATATATATATTAGAAAAGTAACATTATCGACATTGAAAGGTTAATGGGCTGAACAATGTACAGAACCATAAGGCAAGCCTGATTGAGCATAAGCCCAACTCGTTAAGTGCAATTTGGGTCGAAATATGATAGGCCCAAATGAAAAAACACAAACAACAACGACAAAAACAAACATTCATGCTCTTCTTCATCGTTTTTTAGCCCTAGCCTTGGTCTTTATGTATCGCGGGTTAACCCGTTTCTAGGGGCTTCGATTCAGTTCCCAATTAATTATTACGGAGTTTGTGAAAGGATATTCGTATTTATTATTCCACATTGGGTGTGTAGCGGTGGTTCTGGGTGGTTAATTAAGATTAGGGTTTTGATGGGTATGGAGAGGAAGAGGAAGGTGAGCGAGCTTGTTTGATGTGGTTGACGATGCTGCCGCTAAGATGGTCAAATCAAACGGCGGTGCCGTCGGTAACAGCCTCATTAACCGATGGAACGAAAAACCTTACTCGCAGAGATATTTTGAGATTTTGGAGAAGAGGAAGACGCTTCCCGTTTGGCACCAGAAAGAGGAGTTCTTGCAGGTTTTGAAGGACAACGAAACTCTGATTCTCATTGGCGAGACCGGTAGCGGAAAAACCACCTAGGTTTGTTTCTCTCTTCAAACTAAAGCTCTGTTGTACATCGGCAGAGGATATAAGTAGCGATCTAAATAGGTTAATCTATCTTAGGCTTTGACTTAGACTGTAATACCCTATATTTTCTTTTAATAAAATAATAATAATAATAAATATTTTTTGGATAATAATGATATTTAGTATTTTTGTAATTAATAATATTGGTATTTAATATCTTTAATTAATGAGTTAATAATAGTTAAAATAATAAGAGGTAAGATAATAATAGTAATATTATTTGATTTATGTGATAATATATATATATATATATATATATATATATATATATATATATATATATATTAGATGATAAATTATGATTAATTGATTGATGATTTATGTATTTATGTTTGATTAGTAATGATTGATTAGTAAATTGTTTAGATATGATGAGTCAACAAACATAAATTGTTTAGATATGATGAGTCAACAAACATATATTGTTTAGATATGATGAGTCAATAAACATAAATTGTTTAGATATAATGAGTCAACAAACATATATTGTTTAGATATGATGAGTCAGCATTGAGTCAGTAATGTATAAGCCCTAAACTTCAACTATAAATAGAGACATAGCTTAACCAAACCAATTCACTCTCCTCTACTACTCTCTCTCTTCAAAAAGCTTATTTTAATTATTTTCAATCTTTATATTTTTTTTTATCAACCGGTTCTCTACCCCAAATTACTCTTTTCTTCTAGAAGTTAGCGCGGAGACCAGGTAATCCTAATCTCTAGGTGGTTGTAGATTCGTTGTGTATGAAATTTTTATTATGTGTAATCCTAATCTTTAGGTAGTTATATGTTTGATATGTGTAATCCTAATCCTTAGGTTATAATTTTGTTTGAAGTTTATTAATAGTAATCCTTATCCCTAGAGAGTCATAGATTATATTGATATGAATTTCGGTATATGTAATCCTATTCGTAGGTTATTTCTTTTATATAAAACTTGGATGTAATCTGAATCCTTAGGTGTTTAGGTTATCTCTATTATATGAAATTTGGGCATAATCCTTATATGTAATCCGTAGATGTTCTTAATAGTTTGGTATGAACATTTCTATATATATAGGTATTTGTTTTTTTTTAAATTTAAATTACTACATATGATAATTAGAATATTTTTGGAAATTTTTTTATTATTTCAGAAATTATGATTATGTGCAATATATGATATAAACTTTTAATTCATGTGCAATATATGGATCTTATTGAATAATTATGAAAATTATGGAATTATACTACTCTTTAAGAAAAACTTTCCAAATATGTGTTTTAATGATTGAATTTAAATATTTATATTATTAATAACTATGATAATTGATGTGATGGGATTATTTGAATGACGATGATTGGATTTAGATTTTTCTATGATGAATGTTGAAGATTTGAATTATTATATCCTTGAATAAATTGGAAAGTTATGATAATGATCAGATTTGGATTTTACTGTGATGACTGTTGAAGATTTGAATTATCATATCCTTGAATAAATTGGAAAGTTATGATAATGATCAGATTTGGATTTTACTGTGATGACTGTTGAAGATTTGAATTATCATATCCTTGAATAAATTGGAAAGTTATTATGATGATCAGATTTGGATTTTACTATGATAGATGCTGAAGATTTGAATTATTATATAAATTCGAGAATTTATGATAATAGTTGTTTGAATTATGATACTTTGGAAAATTATAATGCCGTTGAGTAACTCATTTAGAGATGATAATACTTAAAGAATAAATAATTATGATTGAATCTTTCCTGATTGTGTGTGTTTGTAATAAATTAATGGTGGGAAGATAGCTTTGGGATGGTACCTCCCAAGGTGATGAACACAACTTTTGGGCTTTATGCCTCCGATGTGAAACTGATGTGAAAAAGATTATATCCGTTCTTTCCAAAGTGGTGTCTGGCAGGGTTTCCCGGGATACTAGTAGCAACTTTGGGAAGAGGTGTGCACACTAGGAAGATGTGAATTGATTATGGCCAATATGATTTGTTTGTGACTGGCAGGGTTTCCCGGGTCACAGGGTAGACTGGCAGGGTTTCCCGGGTCTACCATGGTTCTCTTCCCACTAAATATAACGAACTTAAACATTATTAATAATGAAATTTGTTATTTGATTTGATTATGAAGAATGTCATTGAGTTGTGAATATTATCATATTATGACTAATGTTGTGCTAAATATATTAGTTGATAATTACCAAATACATTAAATGAACTTAATAAAGATAAATATTATATAATGGAATTTTGATTATTATATTGATATTTGATTTGATTAATGTGGAATTGATTTGAACACTATTTGACATTTGATTTAATTTGTTATTACTCATATTAATTGTATTTTGATTAGGATTACCAGCTTTGCTGACTTTTGTGTTTGTTTGACTGCAATGATCCTGCGGCTGCGGGGGAGCAGATTTTCAGTGAAGCATGTTGCAAAGGATGGGGCTAGCTGTGGACAGTGAGGATCACGACTCGAGTATTTCAAGCTAGTTTCTAAGTTTAGAAATTTATGAGATTTAAATAAATGCATAAGACATATTTCCTTTATTTAAACTTTAGTCTTTGGTTTTATTTTAATGTAATAAATTTAGCCTTGCACCTGTTCATTGTACAGGTGCGGCGGTAACATTCCCCAAATTAGATTTTGATTAGCTTCCGCAATATTTCTATTATTATAATTGTGAAAAAAAAAATGAATTTTGACAATTTATTTATTATAAGATTGTTTCATAAATTGTTAGAAATTTGGGGTGTTACAAAATGGTATCAGAGCCCCTGGTTGCGGCTGGGGTTTGCTTTTGATATTGACTCGAGGGATCAAAGATCCCTGAGTTAAATAAAAAAAAAAAAAATTAGGAAATAAAATAA